CCTATCACGGATCAAACAAGATAGGTTAGGAGCCAGCCAGGTGGTGTGGAGGTTAAGGCAGCTGGATCCCACATGGCTGATCCGTGGTTTGGGTCCCAGACCCAGTGGCTTGATAAATCCCTACTGGAGTTGAAGTCTTCTCACTTTCTCTCTCTCTCTCTCTCTCTCTCTCTCTCTCTGGTGAGTACAAGTGCTCTATAGCAAATTTCAAAATAATAATTACTAATTAATTTCATTTAATAAATAATTGTTTAAAAAAGAAAATTATGCTGGGCATATGTGCATGCATGCCCAAAATCCCAAGGGGAGAATGAAGGAAAGAAGATTACAGAATGGTCATCCCCCTGGAGGGAGATCTTTTATTTTCTCTCTCTCTGTCTCTCCAGCAAGTGCACACACACTATAGCAAAGACAAAAAATATAGAAATATTTGAAATGGGTATATTCAAGATATGCCGTGGAATAGACTGGGAACTGTAGAAAGAGGAGAGTGCTTTTTAATAATAATAGTGCTTGTTACAGCTCACATTTGGGACTGCTGCAAACATTTATGTATATTAACTCTTTTAATCCCAACATCGACCCTATGAAATAGTACCCATAATCCCCATTTCGTGGGTAATGAAACTGGGCACAGAGTGTTAAGGAACCCACTCAAGGTCACAGCCTAGAGGGAGGCAAGGCTTGGATTGGAACCCGGATATTCTGGATGTGTTCCCCAAATCCTTGTCCCCCCAATCTGGCTCATCTTGACCTCCCACATCTCAGTCATCTGGAAATTCCTCCCCCTGCACCCTCTCCTAACCCCACCCCACCAACTCCTTCCCAGTGGCCCAGTGGTATTGCTGCAAGGAATGCTCATAACAAAGAAACCCACATTAAAAGTAAGAAGAACCTCAGGTTTCTAAAAAATCTCTTTCTTTCTTGTCCAAGAGATCAAAGGGCCTCACATTGGGAGAACAAACGCTGAGGAAAAAGGCAAATGAGAGAGAAGTTCACACTTGGGCTGAGAAACAGATGGTGCAGAGGTTTGGGTGGAATGAGGGGGTCTGGCTACCCCCCCCCCCCCCCCCACC